CTACCGGGCCGATGATGCCAACGTGGTCCGTGACCGTGACCTCGAGGTGGACACCACCCTCAAGAGCCTGAGCCAGCAGATTGAGAACATCCGCAGCCCTGAAGGCAGCCGCAAGAACCCCGCCCGCACCTGCCGTGACCTCAAGATGTGCCACTCCGACTGGAAGAGCGGTGAGCGCCCTCGGGCTGCGCCTCCTGCTCCTGCCGTGATGGGGCTGAGCCCTGAGGGGCCCCCATCCCCAGTGTCCCCTGACTCTTATCTCGCCCTGCCCCACCACAGGAGAGTACTGGATTGACCCCAACCAAGGCTGCAACCTGGATGCCATTAAGGTCTTCTGCAACATGGAGACAGGTGAGACCTGCGTGTACCCCACTCAGCCCAGCGTGGCCCAGAAGAACTGGTACATCAGCAAGAACCCCAAGGACAAGAGGCACGTCTGGTACGGCGAAAGCATGACCGACGGATTCCAGGTGCGGGACTGGACCCTGTAGCCACTCTTATAAGATGGGCTGGCCCAGGGCTCAGAAGGGCCCGAGGGTAGGTCCTGGGTGGACCAGACCACTGCTCAGTTGGATGCACAGAGCTGGGTTGGGAGGCAGGAGACCTGGGTCTGTCATACTGACTCAGACATCGGGTGCCTGTGGGCAGGGATTCATGGGGATTCTCTCAGGGGACTCCAGGGAGGGCGGCCCGGACTAGAAGCTCCAGCACAGCTGCTCACACCTCCCTCTCTTGCCCCCACAGTTCGAGTATGGCGGCCAGGGCTCCGACCCTGCCGACGTGGCCATCCAGCTGACTTTCCTGCGTCTGATGTCCACCGAGGCCTCCCAGAACATCACCTACCACTGCAAGAACAGCGTGGCCTACATGGACCAACAGACCGGCAACCTCAAGAAAGCCCTGCTCCTCCAGGGCTCCAACGAGATCGAGATCCGGGCCGAGGGCAACAGCCGCTTCACCTACAGCGTCACCTACGACGGCTGCACGGTGAGTCCAGCGGGCCCCCACTCTGGGCTTCGGCTTTCCAGGCCGGCCACTGTCCCTCCACCCACTCAGTCCCACTGGATGACACCCCTCTCCCGTTGTCTCCCCTTCACCCCAGAGTCACACCGGAGCCTGGGGCAAGACAGTGATCGAATACAAAACCACCAAGACCTCCCGCTTGCCCATCATCGATGTGGCCCCCTTGGACGTTGGCGCCCCAGACCAAGAATTCGGCATCGACATTGGCCCTGTCTGCTTCCTGTAAACTCCCTCCACTCCAACCTGGCTCCCTCCCACCCAGCCCACTTGCCCCTGACCCTGGAAACAGACAAACATCCCAAACTGAACCCCACAAAAAGCCAAAAAATGGGAGACAATTTCACATGGACTTTGGAAAATATTTTTTTCCTTTGCATTCATCTCTCAAACTTAGTTTTTATCTTTGACCAACTGAACATGACCAAAAACCAAAAGTGCATTCAACCTTACCCAAAAAAAAAAAAAAAAGAATAAATAAATAACTTTTTAAAAAAGGAAGCTTGGTCCACTTGCTTGAAGACCCATGTGGGGGTAAGTCCTTTTCTGCCCGTTGGGCTTATGACACCCCAACGCTGCCCTTTCTGCTCCTTTCTCCATGCCTACTTGGGGCCTCCCCTCCACTGCTCCCCAAATCTGAGTCTCCCCAAAAGACACAGGAAACATTGCATTGTCTGCCCAGCAACCAAAGGCAATGCTAAAACACCCAAATGGCCCCCACACTCCTAGCCCACTCCCTTCACCCAGCACCCCCAAACCCTGGGCGGACCTGGAGTTCACAGACTGCCAAAGAAGCCTTACCATCTGGCATCCCTGTGGCCCCTGCAACATACTCCTCTTCGTTTTTGAGGGGAGCGTGCCAAGGGGACCACTGGCCCTTCACCACCGGGTTTGGAGGAAAGTCAGAGGGGCCAAGACAGAGCAGAAACATCGGATTTGGGAAACGTGTCCATCCCCCGTGCAGCCTGGCTGGTGGGAGAGACTGCTCTGTTCCTTGTGTAATTGTGTTGCTAAAAGACTACCTCGTTCTTGTCTTTGTGTGTCACCGGGGCAACTGCGTGGGGGCGGGGATGGGGCAGGGTGGAAGGGGCTCCCCGTTTTATATCAAAGGTGCTACATCTCTGTGATGGGGTGGGGTGGGGAGGGAATCACTGGTGCTATAGAAGTCGAGATGCACCCCCCTCAGGCCAGCAAATGTTCCTTTCTGTTCAAAGTCTTTTTTTATTCTTTGTTTTTTTTTTTCCTTGTGGATGGGGACTCCTGTGAATTTTCTAAAGGTGCTATTTATCGTGAGGGGAGAGAGTGCTGGCTATAGACAGAGCCACTCACTCTCCACCCTCTCTTCATCCCCTTGGCCGCCTCTCACCACCTCCGGCCTCTTTCTCCCCACCTTTCTCTCCTCTGAAACCCTCTCCTCCTCAGCTGCATCCCATCCTCATGGCCTCTCTCTCTGTCTGTCCTGCGTCCTCTCTCACTGGGTTTCAGAGCACAATTTCCCAAAGCACAAAGCAGTTTTTCCCCCTAAGGGTGGGAGGAAGCAAGAGACTCTGTACCTATTTTGTATGTGTATAATAATTTGAGATGTTTTTAATTATTTTGATTGCTGGAATAAAGCATGTGGAAATGACCCAAACAGACCTGCAGTGGCCTCCTAATTTCCTACCTTGGAGTCAGGGGAGGGGAGACCTGGGAAGGGAGCTCTGGGGTGGTTGGTGGTCTCTCCTTGGGTTTATGCCCCTTCCCTCCTCCTCCTCATCTAGCATCCTTGATGGTCCCTCCCCCTTCCTCTTGCCTTTCTCACGCCTTAACCCTGTCTCTCTACTCTCTCCTGCAATCTTCTCCCACCCCCTCTTTTCCCTCACAGTGCTATACAGGCAACCCACTTGTGCAGCACACACACGCACATGCACGTGCACACACATGCACACTCGCACACATATGCACACACACACACGCCTCCCTTCAGATTCTGAGCTGCCCAAGCCTCATGCCCAAGCCTGTCAATGCGATCAACGCTTACTGCCCCCTCCTCTGCTGTAAGCACCCCGCAAGGTTGGAGGGCTGTGGATGGCACTGCCCCAGGAGCACTGGGAGGCCCGTGGCTGGGCGAAGGAGGAGGGACAGCGAGGAGTACCTAGGGCCTCGCTCCCGGCCAGAAAGGCCTCTCCCTGGGGAAACTCGGAGGGTCATCTGTCCTCATCTCCCTTCTCGCCCGCCCTCTCTGAGTTCCTCCAAGGGAGCAGCCAGCGGTGCAGCACAAGGAGGCTGTACCGAGCCTGCCCTGAGAGCCGGAGGAGACCTGGAGGGGGAAATGTTTCCTCTCCTTCTCCTGGGCTCCCCAGGGAAGGAGAGAGGAAACCACTGACCCTCAGCAGAGCCTCCCCAGGACCTTGGAGAGCTGCTGTCCAGGCGTGTACCTGGTGCCACCACGAAAGCAACAGGCCCTGACCCCTCAGGTCCCCCTTGGCCTTCTAGGTCCCCAAAACATAAGATCCCAGGGTTTGGAATGGCCTGGGGATGTCATTTTGCCCAGCCCTTGCCTCCTGCCCCTTTCTTCTCCTTTTAAAAACCTCTGGCTTCCTCTTCCTCCTTCTCTCTCCACTCCCTTTCCTTCTCCCTCTGCCTGTCCCTCCCTGCTGGCCTGAGAGTTTGAAGTGCCCAGAGGGAAGGTGACTGGTCAGGTCCCCAATCACAGGGAAGGAGGACAGCAGTGTGAAGTCCGGGGGGACACAGAGGATCCAGAGAGTCAGAACTCTAGAGCAGACCAGGCACCCAGAGACCTAGAAACAGGGAAAAGCTGTCCTGCCTCTCTCCCAAGGTCTCAGGGCCTAAGCCTCAAAGGCAGGAAAGACCCTTGGGTCCACAGAGAGATGGACGAGTCCGCAGAGTTCACCACCTTTGATACTAGTACTGTGGCTGTTATTAAGTTGTCATGGTTGTTAATTACAGCCTTGAATAATTCATCATTCACTCTTCTACCACATTCAGGACAGCACAGAATTAGCCTAGAGAGAGTTAGAAATTGTGGCAGGTAAACAAAAGTTTATTCATATGCACATTACCTGAAGTTGCCTGGTGAGCCTCTGATCAGTCTATTGATTGATGGGTGATGCCTGCCTGACACCAGCCTAGGTACCTCCCATCCACCTGGACCTCCTGCTCCCTGGGGCCCTTGGCTGTCTTGGCCCCATCCTTATCTGCCCCCGTGGGGGATCCAGATACACCCCCAGCCTAACATTCAAGGCTTTACCTGGCCACTACCCACCTGTTCACAGTCACTGTCTCCTCCCCTGCCCACACCTGTCATACCAGCCAAAAAGGGTGAACAAAATTCCCCGTGATGCACCACCCTACTCAACTTCCAGGCCTTCCTTTATGTTTCACATGTCTCATTGTGCCTTCATTCTCCTGCCTAA